TCGGGTATGATTTAGTTCTGTTTTCCATTATAAAATGCTAATTTTGTAAGCTTCTTCACGTTGTACATTCTGATATATGCTAATTAGTTTCTAATTGCTGACATAAGGACACAATCAACTCATTAAGGAGGACACAATAACCTTTCCATTAAGCATTAAGTTCAACTAAGTCAATCTGCTAATGTATTACTGAAAGTATAACTTGGTACCTAAGCTGGCAAGCCTGACATGTGAGTTAGTAAAGGATATCTGTGGGCTGCCATGGAAACCAAGGTCCTTTGAATCAAAGCGGTGTTCGTCACTCTGTTTGTGGGAAATGGTTAAGGCAAACCATACTCTAAACCCAAACCTCAAATGATACAGAAGTCGAAAGGGTGAAGAAACGCATACACTTTTATATCTTCCAGCTTTCGCTGGTGTGGACAGTGTGCTGCTTACTGTCATAATAGCACAATGTATGATAGTTCTAAGAAGATATTCAACTATGATTGTAAATGTTTCAGTCTGAAAAAGTGCAAAGAGCATGGCACAACAATTATATGCACTCCCTACTAAATAACACAAGGTGCCTGTCTTTTCTTCATGGGAATACTGAACATGTTGTAGTTAAATGTCTTGATGTTAAAGAGAGACTCATGCTATTTTATGTAATTTTACCAACAAACAGTTGTGGCCTAATGGATAGAGGTGTACCATGACTGAGGTGAGGCCCTTGAGCAAGGCACTGAATCCCCAACTGCTCCCTGGGCACCACAGCATTGGCTGCCCACTGCTCCGGGTGTGTGTTCACGGTGTGTGTGTGCACGTGTTTGTTCACGACTCACTGCTGTGTGTACTTGGATGGGATAAATGCAGTTAATAATTGCCTTTTTTCGTAACATAGGCAAAACTAATTTTTGGGCCCCCCTTCCCTATTAATATAATAGGCCAAATATTACCACCCAAGCAAACAAAAATGTTTCTTAATCAGTGGAAATTGTTACAGTGTTTTCTATCGCAATAAGCACTTGCGTTCAGTCAATAAAAATCGAATGTTCTTAATTTGTTTGAGAACTCAGAAGACCGTTCCATATAGGCATGGCGTCGTGGCCACATAACCACTTCGGGAGTGCATTATTTCTCTAATAGTTTTAATGGCCTGGAGTCACAACCACACATCAAGACATTGTTCAGATGATTTGTTTCAAGACAGATTGACATGTTTCCATCCTGAAATCTCTTGTGTGTTGAACAATTTTTTTACGCACCTCATCCCAAACCCTCCATTGCAAATTCCAAAACGTCATTTTAGAGCTAATAACGGAGGCTTGAGCCATTGATATGCAGGCTAATGCAGTTATTAATGTGGTTATTTATAGAGAGGGAGAGGGAGAGGGAGAGAGAGAGATTAAGTGCGTTTGAATACCTGCATCTATGCGTCTCTCAGCAGCGTTCAGCAGCAGCGTCTACTAATCTAGTCTACGAACCATTATGTTAAACTGCTTCAAGAACCTCGCTACTAAGAAATGTCATGTAGCTTTTCAGCTGCGAAACTATTTTATTGATAAATTCGCGGGGCAGCGCTGACAATAAGTTTCTGTTCACGAGTATGTGTCTGCACTGTGTGTGCGTCTGTGAGAGAGACTGGGAGAAAGAAAGCGTGATTTCCGTAGCCTACATTAAAAAAAAAGTTGGAAGACATGGAAATTGTTTGTAATTTTTTACCCTATTGTTTGTTATATTTATTTGCTCAATGTCTTCTGGGGTTTTGGTTATTTTACTGTTGTAGATAGCCCATAGTATAACAAAAATATTATATATCTCTTCATTGTGTTTGGGCCCCCCTGGATGAGCGAACATAGGCACGTGCCTAGAATGCCTATGCGTAAATCCGGCCCTGAATGCAGAGCACAAATTCCAAGTATGGGACACCATACTTGGCCACATGTCACATCCTTTCCTTTCCTTTATCAAATTCTTCTCTCTCTCTCTCCATCAAGGAGCTTTTTTTTTGTCCAGTACAGCTCAGATAGAGGATAGAATGACATTGTACAAAGGCAGGAAAGGCTTGACCATGTTCAAATATACAGTATATACAGCCTTTATTTTGGCATCTCTGAAATGGCCTATATCTAATGGCCTACATATTCAACATATAGAGCTGTAGAGAGCTCTTGGTTCGACTCTAGTTTCACGTTGCCATTATGCTACCCTCTCCCTTCTCTTGATTTCCTGTCTTTCTCTGTACTGCCAGCATAAAATATGGCAAAAAGCACTCAAAAATAAATGTTAAAAAAAATTATAGTGCACCTTTGACACATGAAGTTTATCACACAGACACCAACAATGTTAGAAATATAGAAATATTGAATTTCAAGTGCATATGGTTGTGGATTAAGTGCATACATGTCAATCGTGGTGAAAACCACACTGTTGATGAGTAAGTGGGGTCAGTCATTTTATAATATATTAATTAGTCTGACATCAGAAAGTTTGACATCAGGAAGTCCAAAACAAGATTTCTTGTTTTCTTTCAAGAAGTATAAAAGTAAAAGTATATTGTGTATTATATTCAACAAAAGGCTGTCCTCATTTATAATCACAAGAATAATTTCAAGACCGTATTTGTCAGAGATTCACATGTCAAATATAATAAGCATGTGAATGTGGTGAATTTTGAAATGTTTCTGTAAAGCTTACATTTTGTAGAGCCTCTGGGCAGGTTTAGCCATCTGCAGTTAAAAACTGACTCAGTGCCTAGCCGATGCATATTTATGAGAAACCACTGATCTTGATACAACAGAATTAAAACAGTATAAGAAAAAAAGTAAAGATTTGTATTGCCTTCTTAAAATGCAAAGTGCAAAAAAAACTTTGCAGCATCTTCCAATGACAACAGATCCCGCACGATCTTCTATGCACGTAGCTCTGCATTAGGCTCTAATTGGGCAAAGTATTGACATGCGAAGAGCAGTAAGTTGGCTAATGGCTTCCTGTCTGTGTTTCCTCTCTGCATGGAGAGAATCGTGCAAAACCACACAGGCCCATGGCTGTCTTCACTATGTTATTGCACGGCACACAATGCAATCTAATCTGCTGCTGCAGGCCTACTAACCTGCCTGCTAAATAATAAACACCACTGGACAGCAGCCTGCAAGGCCACGTATAATCCAGGTATTGCTTTCTGTGTTTATTGCTCTATGTGTTCATTATCTGCCTTCTCCTCCGGCACTTAGAAGGCTGTTAAATTGTTTTCTTCATTTTGTTTATATTTTCCTTTTTTTTTTCAATCTCGCCAAGTATATTTTATTTTATTATTTTATTTATTTATTTATTGTATCTCCTTCACTCTCTTCCTTTATATTAAAGTTATGTGTGCTAGAAAACTTTAGTTGTTTATATATATATATATAATAGGTCTATATTTTTTATTAATCGTGGCATGATAACATCAATTTACCTGCAATTTAATTTTTTATTTATTTATTTATTGTATCTCCTTCACTCTCTTCCTTTATATTAAAGTTATGTGTGCTAGAAAACTTTAGTTGTTTATATATATATATATATAATAGGTCTATATTTTTTATTAATCGTGGCATGATAACATCAATTTACCTGCAATTTAATTATAGAATAGAATAGAATAGAATAGAATAGTCTGAGAGATGCTATTATGTTGAGTCTGAGCTTATTTTGTCAATGGAAGACAGGCTTCACTATTTTTTTATATTAGACAGTCGGTTTGAATTGAACTATTTTTAAAGTTTACACCGAAAAAAATACTTTTTTATAAAAAGTCATGGATGTTTACAGAATCTTCCATTTACGGCACTTCTCGTTCATTCCTATAGTATCTGTAAAAACCAGTGTGCCTTGATAACAAATCACATCACAGCCTTGACGTCATTGAAGTTGATCGTTGCACTTTCTCCAATGGCAGAGCCATGGACCCTCATATCTCCCAATAATAAAAGCATCTCTGGTTTAAGTGGATAGCTGAATCTGGGCAAATTCCAAACTGCATTTTTGTACCCTTGAAGGGCACTACAGGAAGGGGACACCATTTGTAGGGGCATTCCAAACGAGAGTGAACACCTGAATCCCTCCCTGAAGGGCCCTTCCACAAGACTGTTAGCAAACAGTACATGTCATGATCACTTCAAGGAAGTAATCATTTATGATTATCATTTATGGTCATGAGACCCGGGGTGGCGTGTCCTCATGATTCATTTAAAGCTAGATATGGCAGGAGAGTTTGAGCTAGGGATGCACCGATACCACTTTTTCCAGTACTCGCCCGATACCGATAAAAAAAATGTTTGGTATTTGCCGATACAGAGTACCGATACCAATATTTTTATTGCATTTGTACATTTTTTAAATATTGGGTACAGAAACCAAAAGAGTATGTATATTGTTAGTTGGTTAACTTCATTTATCAAATAGATACAGTCAAACCAAAATTTATTCAGACACCTTCAACATTTCTCACATTATCACAGTTTATTCGCTATAGTTTAGAAAATGGAAATAAAATATGACAAGAACTCAGAGTTAAACTGTGTCAGAACAAATTCAGCTTGATAATGTTAGATATCTTTGATAGAAAGGTATGTAATGGATTACAATCAACCAAAAATTATTCAGACGGCTGTAGTATGACAGTATTATTTACACAACTATGAATATTTAGTTGGGCAACCCTTAGCCTTAATGACAGCATCAGTGAGCATTTTTCACTTCCAGTTCTTATTGATTATATAATTATAAGATATATGATTGTAAACATTAATTATTTAATTAATTAATAATGATTGATGTGGTTTGAAATTGGTAAAAAATATGATCAGAATATTGACTCACCTAATAATAATGCATGCACTTGCATATGCTTTTCCACATCATAAATGTTTTCCATGGTAAGCATTTTTGATTTTCCTGTAATTTTCCATTACACACTTACTTTAATCACCGATTTGAGATGAAAAAATTGTTTGTGCCCAAATGACACACAGACTATAGCATTGCTAGAGGACTATGACTGTCATAACAGGTATATTGTTCAGGATGCTGAGTGTGAAGTTATTTGAAGGAGCATTTCTCCAGAAAGCTGCAAGCCACAATCGGTCCTAACAAACAGCACTAGTAACATTATCAGGCACTCAATATTATCAATACTCAATTATCCATTGTGGCATTCAGATAGCTTGAGTAACTCAACCTGCACTGAACACTTAAAAAAAAAAAAAAAAAAGGACTCACCTTACTATTTGGCAGTCCCGGCTCTCAGGTGGAAACTGAAATTGAAACAAATTGTTATATAGTGTTGCTGGATAATTTCTCAATTAATTTACTCAATTAACATGGAGCATACTGTTAACAGAAATAAAACCATCTTTTGGCAAAGATTTTATAAATAAAAATCCATGCCAGACAATATAATGTAATACATGTCTGTCTCTTCAGTGCTCCTCTCTGTTTTTATCATTCAGGATGCACCTTAAAGCATTCTGCCTGCTTAATAAGGGGACTGGGCTGGTCAAAAGTTTGGAGACATTACTACTTTAATGTTTTTAAAATAAGTCTCTTGCTTATCAAGCCATCATTTATATGATCAAAAATACAGAAAAAAAACCTATGGTAATGGTTTCCTATTTTAATGTACTTCAAAATATTATTTATTACTTTGATCAAAGCTCAGTGTTGGAAACAGTTGTGCTGCTTAATTGTTTTGGGAACCTGTGATACTTTATTCAGGATTTATTGATGAATGAAAAGTTATTTATTCAGCTTTGCCATCACAGAAATAAATTTAATTACAATTTTAAAAGTTATTATCAGTTAAAATATTTATTTTCATTGTGAATATATTGTAAAATGTAATTTATTCTTGTAATCAAAGTTGAATTTTCAGTATCATTGCTCCAGTCGTCAGTGTCACATGATGCTTCAGAAATCATTCCAATAAGCTGATTGATTTGCTGCTCAAGAAAAATTTCTGATTATTATCAACATTGAAAAACAGTTATGCTCTTTAATATATTCAGAAACCATGATATGCAACCATTCAAATCTTTGATGTGTGTGTGTGTGTGTCTGTGTGTGTGTGTTATTTAATAGAAATTACTGTTTTTATTCAGCATATATTATGTTTCAAAAAAATATATTTCAAATAAATTATGTTATTTTGAACTTTCTATTAATCAAAGAATCATAAAAATGTTTCCAGGAAATATTAAGCAGCAAAAACTGTTTTTTTACGATAATAATAAGAACCATTATTGATAACTGAGTACCAATAAAAATGCAGCACTAAATCAGCATGTTAGAATGATTTCTGAAGGATCATGCACTGAAGACTGCAGTAATGATGCTGAAAATTCACAGGAATAAACTACATTTTAAAATATATTCAAATAGAAAATAGTTATTTCACATTGTAATAATATTTCACAATATTTATTTTTGAACTTTATTTTTGATCAAATAAATGCATGCAGCCTTAAGGGCTAGTTATCACGCAGCAATCTTAAAGAATTTAAATTAATAGAAGCAGTTAAAATTACTAAAGTTTAAATTAAGTAATTAAGTTAAAATCCGTTAATTACGTATAATTACAGACCTCTGGACCGTTTTCTTCATGTCAGCAAGTCCTCTGATAACACAGGCCTAAGTGTTCGCCAACATTACAGTCCAACACAGATCTAAGGAGCAAATAAAAAAACCAAACCTTTAAGTTATCGAGTACACAACATTATAAGAAATTAATTTATTAGTAGAACAGTTTGATCGCACGGTGTGACATACCTTGGTGATGTTTTTGAGGATAACAGCGAGCAGTCTGTATCCGCCTCGATCGTCTTGACCTCTTCTGTTTTGATTTGAACTCCAGAAAAAAACGCGGGCTCTTTTCCACGGACGCAGCCCGGATCTGCTCTGCAACTGTAGTTCCCGCTCACTGAAACCGCGCCCGGGCTGGATCCGTGTTACAGCACTGAAACGGAGTCCGGCGCGGAGTCAGCTGCTGTCTCACTTCCATTTGGATTTTGCCCTCTTTTGTTGCTGTCGTAAAGCAGTTCGCCGTTTTCGTGGAATTTTGTAGGCTATGAGGTCATGTTGACATAAGTGATCTCGTTGATTACTCATCAAGCGCATCACCAATGCTTTATGAGTCCTGTGACAGAGATTTGACTTGAAATTACTCTTTACATCTAAACTCCTCATGCATAGGCATGAGCTGTTCATGACAATAGTGATGGGTTTGAAAAGAATTGCACTTAGAAGAACTTCAGACACAATCAAAAACGTCAGTTCTTACTAATAAGCTGTCGGAGAGCTGTGATCAGCGTTTGATTTATGACAAATATCACAAGCCCTGGCTGGTTTCCTCCAGGCATGTGCTCGGCCCTTTCCTTCCTGGCCAAGAGACGATCACTCTTCATGTGAAGTGAATGGCACTCACATCCAGCTCTCTGTGTGATTCACAGAGGGTAGCACAATATGACAGGCCTTGTGAGTAGGAGAACTTAGAGAAAAAAAGAAAAGGGTCAGGGGAGAGACGAGAGAGCTTGTTCTGTGCTAGCGACAGGAAAAACAAGCCCTGAATGTAAACTTAATGAGCACCATTTTTCTCTTCTTTGCTTCTTTGTGTTTCTTTTAAAAGAGCTGGACTGAGAAGAAGGGGAAGCAATGGCTATGCGATATCCCAAAGCCCCTCCACGAGTCATATCTGTCGTCCACAACAGTGAAGCTAGACTGAGAGGGTTATGGCCTTATTTCAACTTCTGTATCGATTCTATCACACCCCCATGAGACTGCTGAGGGTCGTCTGTCATGCATCAGTGAGAAAAATGACCTTTTGGCAGTCAGAAAAGAAAAGAGATGTGCAATTCTCCATGACGCTTTGGTCCCTTTACAGTTCATGGTGCAAGATGATCCTCAGAATCACAACAAGACCAACCATTTTTATTTAAAGGGGACATTGGATGCAAAATTTACTTTTACATGGTGTTTGCATATAGATGTGTCTTAGCAGTGCGTGGACACAACCACTCTACAATGATAAAAATCCAGTCACTCCTTTTTTTTTAATCCGCAAGAAACCAAAACAGTCTCAATAATCAAGACGTTTTTTTCCCACCCACGACCACTGACGGACTGTCCCATATTAGCATATTTCTGCCCTCAGCCAGTTGTACACTGTCCGCCATTTTCTCCGTGCTCGAACAGCTTTAGCGACATGTCTTGTAAGCAATGCAGGTGTTCTGTAGTTAGATGTAAAAGTGAACATAAGAGTCTTCATGTTCTCCCAACATCAGAGCCACTGAGGACGCAGTGGATTAGTTTTATTTTTGATGGTAACTCGCAACCGAATACACAAAAAACGGAAGAGAGGGGTGGGGTGAGCAGTATCTCATTATCATTTAAAGAGACATGCATCAAAATGGGTCGCTGTGAACAGAGCTTTTTTGTCAATGTAAAAATGGTGTTATTTTACATGACCACTGAGGAATTTTTAATCAAAGTATGTTGCAGACATTTCATTAAGACCCTAAAGAATCATACCAACTTGTGGAAAATGGGCATCCGATTTCCCCTTTAATACTTTGTGCTAAGACAGTCACCATTGTACAGTGTTGTATGATAGTTCAAAATTAGCCAATGTTACTACCTTTTTGGATGACAATGTTATAGTATAACATGCAGAGTATAATCCTTATTCCTACCACTTCCCAAAAACTACATATTTGCCATTCATAATGTTTTTTCATTCATTAATACTGTAATTAAACGCATAGTAATTATTTCATTAACATAAAAACTTTGATCATGTTAGAAGCCCATTCAGTAATTTTTGAGGAACTATCAGCACCTTATTTCTTTGTGGGAATCTAACTCGCTTCACATTTGCTTAAATGGCTTCAATAATGGAGTAGAGGTAATATTTTGGTACTAACAGAAAAGTGAGGTGATAATCAAAGACACTCAGCGAGGGCCTACTTCTCAAAAATGTCTTTAATACCCCATTTCTGTAATACCAGTCATTTTGCTAAACGAGAGCAATGGATAAAGGTCCTGCAAAAGAAAAGGAAAAAACGAGAACAGCAATAAAGAGATGACCTTTCAGACAGCCAATGTAATTTGTGATCTTCAATCCTGAGTGTATGTTCTGCAATTTTGAGACTCATATGGTACATCTTACCATAGGGGTATTCACGTCTTCAGAAAGTACATTCTGTTGTTTATGCAGTCTACCATCACTTTCTTGATTGACCGGTAAAATGAAGCAAAGCCAAAAAGAAATGCCTTTATAGAAGGAACCATTGATTGCCAGCAATAGAGACACTCACTGTTGCAATATAGTGGATAAGATTTGCTCTGAAACGGCACCCCAAAAATGGTAACAGTGGAAAGTACAGAACTAGTTGTCTGAAAATAGATGCCTAAGGGATGAGGTGAACCAATCTATGTGGACAAGTGAAACTGTCCAAATTCACCCTATCCAAGAATGTCTAACTAATAGGATCTTGGCAAACTGCTTTTCTGAAAGCTAGAATGGCTTGTCTCCAAGGACACACACTTGTCTTTGAAATCCAGCTGAATAGAGAGTGAAGAGGTAAAGGCGGCCTAAGAGACTGTTAAACAGTTAAGTTCAGTCAGGACAGCTTTTGTTTAATGCGAGTACTCGGGTTCATATGAGAGTGGATGAGAGTGGGATATTCAAGCATTCTTTTAAATTGAGTTGCTAGTTGGATATAAGAGGAAAATGTCATAAAAAATTTGATTTTTCAAAAAAAAAAATAGTATTCATTTCTTTCCTAATATATGACAAAAATATATGACCTTCGCTGGGAGTTTGATTGACAGGCAATCTGACCAATCATAACGCTGAATCTGCCATTTTTGTCCGACAAACAAACCAGACAGGAGAGTAGATTAACGTCGGTGGACTTGAACTTAAAAAATAGTGTGTATTGATATCTTTCCGTGGTTGAAACAAGATACCTTCTAATGTTCATTCACGTTTATTTCATGCTATAGTAAAGAGGCGCTACAGAGATCTGTCACAACACATTATTAAAGAGCCACAAAACGATATTTATTGTTTGAATTTCTTTTATTTTTTTTAATTACAACATTTGAAAGCTAAGACTTTGTTTCATACCAAAAGTAACCTGCTCTGTCTTGTCTGTCTGTCCTCTTTACTCTGCAAAGGATTTTTCACTGCGTGACAACATGATGGCATCAGTGCGACATGGCTTGTCGGATGCAGCAACAGTAACTAAGGGGGCAGGTCTTTGCGAAGGGTCAATTGTGTAAGTCGTCTCATGCAGAGGCGTATAAAAGTTCACACTGAGGATTCAAAATTTAATGTAGACCTAAAATCAAACAAAGGTTTTAGGATTTTGAAAATGCTAAAAATAAATCAAAAATAAGAAGAAATAGACTCTGTCATAATTATGATTAAAAGATCAATGACACAACCATTCAGCATGACCACACAAATTCCATAATGTCTACAAGTTATACTGTCTAATGACATGAGAACAGATGGATTAGCATGCGCATGTGATTTAAAGAGCTATCATGAAATGATATGAGATTGTGATCTGTATCATGACTAGCCTAGAGCTTCAGTTTAACTACGTGCTGGCTGCCTTTTTGATGTCTTAATGGCCCAATTATCGTAGCTCTGGAGTGGATCAATGGAAGTTCTGTCAGCCCAGGCTACTGACACAATAGGAGGTGGGAAGGTGACACAAGATGCTCTGAAACCCCTTTGAAAGCAAGCATGGCTGGTTTTACCTGAAAGAAAGTCAGTCTCAGGAGTGGCATGTGTGACCGAAACCTGTCCAAAGAGGCAATGGGGCTCCATTGTTCATTGAAGAGAACATCTTTTTCAGACGGCACGTCTGTAATGGTTAGCCCTCATTAGAGGAGTAACGGTTACTGTGGTTTAGAGGTGTAAAGTGGTCTTCACACTGCCAGCAACTGGACATGTAATATATATATACACAGTGGGTATGAAAAGTATTCAGACCCCCTTACATTTTTCACTCTTTGTTATATTGCAGCCATTTGCTAAAATCATTTTATATATATATATATACACACATATACACACACAATCTGGAATGCAGAGCCATTGATTAAAACAAATAAAAAATTTCCAGCAATATAAGGGTTAAATTTAAAGACAAAATATTTGTAAGCTCAAGTTAAGGAATATGTGTTCATAATGCAACCACACAGAGTACTGTGTATTTTAGTCAGTTTTTTAGTCTGAACTGCAACCAGTCTACTCCTCCAATGTGTCCTCCATCTCCCCAAGTGTGGTGATGTTCCTGGACTGTACTGAATTAAAGCATCATATGGAAGTATGGTTCTCCAATTCACGAGGAGAGAGACTCAGTGAGTTAATCCAAACTGACTCGCAGCTGTTCAGATTCTATCGCAAATGTTGATTAGAGTTCTGATGACATGCCAGCTTTACGACTCAGTGGAAGGACAATTCTTTGGAATTTGGGTTTGGGTCTACAGCATATCTTCTCCCAGAGAAAACAGACTTTACAGTTGGCTAGTCCAAGAAGCACCTAAAAGTATACAAAATACTATTTTGAAGCATTGTTTAGCAACTTTGCTCAATCCATACACATTTACACAATTGGTGCAGAATAACATTAGGGGTCAGTAATACTATTATTCAGCAAGGATGCATTAAATTGATCAAAAGTGACACAATATTGTTACACAATATTTCTATTTAAATAAATGCTGCTGAAATGTATATTTAAAAAAAATGTACCATGGATTTGACACACACACGTACGTATGTATGTATGTATATATATTAAGCAACACATCTGTTTTCAGCTGTGATGAGAAATGTTTCAAAAGCACCAAATCTGCATATTA